TAACAGCGCTTCCGAGGCGAAAAGGTTCGGTGACGTTCTTATATAAAAAAATCCATAACTTCTACAATATTTAACATAAAGCAATAGTTTTTTCACCAAAATGTTCAGAGAAATCAGAGGATTATAGAAAAAATACATTTGGTTGGTTATTTCTTCACATTTATATGTAATGTATTGCTAAATTTAAATTTTGAGTTATTTTTTAATTTACAAACAAAAAATCTTTAAAAGCGATTATTGACCAAAGGCATAGCAGTAACCAAAGCAATTTTTTTTTTAATTAACCCTAAAGATATAAACTAAAGTAATCTGGAATAAAATTAATGGTTTTTTACCAGCTAATATTTTTTTTTATTCATATAAGTTACAATATGGGTTATGGCGAAGAAATCCTATGAAATCGATAACTTGACTTTGCTATCCAAGTTTAAAACCTCTAATATTCATCCAATTGCAAACAACATCTTTTAATTAAATTAATGACTTGTCAATACTTAAAATTTGTGCACTAACCCTTAGATATTAAATGTGAAAACATGTGTTATAACTGTAACCGGTACCGTATACTAGGCTGTACATAAAATTAAAGCTGCAGTAAATGATAGGCTATACCAATTATGTACTTACAAAGAAATGTATTTATTATTTATACAAGGGCTTATTTGATTAGAACATTTTTGTGATAATCATAAAGGTCTTTAACAGTAGAGGAGTTACCTTAGTTTTGGATATGGGTGCGTGTGAGCCTCAACATTTTCTTACAATGCAAGTCAGCAGCTTGAACTTCCTTTTCAGGAAAATAATACATCCTCCTTGAGCCTTTAGTTGTAGGTGGATTGACACTTGAAATTATGTTGCATAGGCAAGTAAAACAATTTTGCTGGTCCGTATGTAGAAATTTAACTTTAATATCACACTCAATGTCTTTTTTTTTCTCATGACTAATCCGAAACACCAATTGTCATCATAAATGCACAATGTAGTCAACCAAGCTATTGTCCTGTTAGATTTCAGCAAAAACAATTCCTGTGTAATCTTACTAATATAAATGTGAAAGTTTGTGTCTTTGTTTGTTTGTTTGTGTGTTTGAAGTTCAATCACGCATAAACCACTGGACGGATTGGGCTGAAATTTGGCATGATGATAGCTTACATTCCCGATTAACATATAGGCATATTCTTCGCTCAACCAAACTGGAGCGGAGCCCGAAAGGATTTTTGAGGTAAGAATATGCCTATATGTTAATCGGGAATGTAAGCTATCATCATGCCAAATTTCAGCCCAATCCGTCCAGTGGTTTATGCGTGATTGAACTTCAAACACACAAACAAACAAACACAGACACAAACTTTCACATTTATATTAGTAAGATTACATAGGAATTGTTTTTGCTGAAATCTAACAGGACAATAGCTTGGTTGACTACATTGTGCATTTATGATGACAATTGGTGTTTCGGATTAGTCATGAGAAAAAAAAGACATTGAGTACCTATATTAAAGTTAAATTTCTACATCCCCACGGACCAGCAATAGTATATTACGTTACTAGTCCTGAAAATAAGTGTTTACCGGACGAGTGTGGTCGTTCCCGTGCGAGACGAAGTCGAGTACGGGATAACCATACGAGTCCGGTAAACACTTATTTTCAGGACTAGTATTAACAACTAAAGGACTAATAAACACTAGTCATAACCTCTGAGAGAGGTTATGTTTTTGTTTATAACCACTAATTGCCACGAAAATACAGTATAATCAGCTGATTGGTGTCCGGTAAAACTCATTGCAGAACAGTATTACGCAATGAAACCCCATTTGAATAAGCAGGCGGCAAACAGCTGTTTTCTGGACTAAATCCTTGCGTGGAAAGTTCATCAATATAATGTAGTGTGGCGTAAAATCATTTTACTGGCCTATGCAACATAATTTCAAGTGTCAATCCACCTACAACTAAAGGCTCAAGGAGGATGTATTATTTTCCTGAAAAGGAAGTTCAAGCTGCTGACTTGCATTGTAAGAAAATGTTGAGGCTCACACGCACCCATATCCAAAACTAAGGTAACTCCTCTACTGTTAAAGGCCTTTATGATTATCACAAAAATGTTCTAATCAAATAAGCCCTTGTATGAATAATAAATACATTTCTTTGTAAGTACAATTGGTATAGCCCATCATTTACTGCAGCTTTAATTTTCTGTACAGCCTAGTATACGGTACCGGTAAAAGTTAAAAACACATGTTTTCACAATTAATATCTAAGGGTTAGTGCATACATTTTAAGTATTGACTATTGACAAGTCATTGTAATTTAATTAAAATATGTTGTTTGCAATTGGATGAATATTATAGGTTTTAAACTTGGATAGCAAAGTCAAGTTATCGATTTCATAGGATTTCTTCGCCATAACCCATATTGTAACTTATATGAATAAAAAAAATATTAGCTGGTAAAAAACCATTAATTTTATTCCAGATTACTTTAGTTTATATCTTTAGGGTTAATTAAAAAAAAAATTGCTTTGGTTACTGCTATGCCTTTGGTCAATAATCGCTTTTAAAGATTTTTTGTTTGTAAATTAAAAAATAACTCAAAATTTAAATTTAGCAATGCATTACATATAAATGTGAAGAAATAACTAGCCAAATGTATTTTTTCTATAATCCTCTGATTTTTCTGAACATTTTGGTGAAAAAACTATTGCTTTATATTAAATATTGTAGAAGTTATGGATTTATGTATATAAGAACGTCACCGAACCTTTTCGCCTCGGAAGCGCCGTTATAAGTGTATTTAGCAAAATTTCAAAAATTCATAACTCAAAAACTATTTAAGATAATTTTTTTAAACTTGGTGTATCTTATTGAAATGGTCAAATGAACAAATAAAAAAAATTTCAGCCAAATCTGAGGTCATGGGTGACATTTTATTTTTTTATTGGATGATTTGAAATGGAATGACCCCCTAGTAAACTCATTGGTTTAGGAAGAACAACTAACTTATACCATCCATCTTAAATAATGATTGACAAACTAAACCATTATTTACTAACTCTTTAATCTTAAAACAATCGGAAAAATTTGTCAACCGCAGCCGATGGACGAGTTTAAGTCGTTTTAGTGGTGGTTTAACTAACAGCTGGTTTCTAACTGTCATTGAAATGTTTAGGCCTATGTTACAAGTTGTTTGTACGGTACAGTATACAAAAATATTGATCGTCAGAGTTTGCCTACACACTACCGGTATTTCACTTGTAGTTTCTTTCCTACCCTAAAAGATCTATTTTACCTATCAGGAGATTATTTAATTTTGAACTAAACATTTTAAACGTATAATCAAGTTTTGTCATAAATGCAATCCGTCTTAGTATAGGGCTAAGTGCTTTATCCTTTAAAACAAAAGTGGTTTACGTGTTGATGCATCTTTGAATATAAGTATGAGTGCATACAGTACACATCTTATTCGTAATGACAATGTCAACCGGTGTAGTAGGTCTCCAGAAAACTGACCAGTAAGCTGCAGGGTGTCAGTAGAAACCAAAATTGATTCATCATAACTATCCCAGTAGTAGGCTACTGTATGATTCAGAAACTTGATGAAGGGGTATATTCCAAAAGGTTTGGATCTCGGATGGGCTGGGCAGGCTTTGCATGGCGGAGAGAAGATACTTCAACTTTTAATAGTGTATTCCAAGGAGTAGGCTACTACAAGGTAAACGACCACTTGGAAGACCAAGTAATGAAAGACATCTTCAGACTGGTATCTTCCTTAGAAATGGCAGGGGATAGAAGAGAATGGGAGGCCAGGATCATTTTAGAGGTTTCAGTGGCTAAGGTGGTAATAAGAGGTACATAGGTAAGTGATAGTATGCAGTGGAAGGTGGTATGTAGCTACTGTACTCTAAGCCAGCGTGTGTGAATCGGCCACCAAGTTGTAAACTAGCTGTTCTGAATCATATATTCAGTTTTAATTGACTACTCGATTCCCGTATGTAGGAAGGGCCAACAGCTCATATATTAATACATAAGCTGTAAATAGCAAAGAAAGTATAACCTGACGACCACGTCGCTGACGCGATTCAACTTACCAGTGGGAATAAGTTAAGTTACTCCAAGTACTTAGGTAGGCCTATCCAAGTAAGTAAGTACTTAGATGTCAATTCAATCTAGTTTAGTTTTTACTGACTGAGGCAACAGGAGAGAGAAATAATTGGTTCTTGGCTAAAATGACAGTTGGCCTAGATTTTGATAAGCCAAAATCACAGATTTTGCAATTTTTTTTACGCCATAGTGGCATTTCACAAGAGAAGCTACGAGAGATTAAATGTTTAGTGGATGTGCCGGGGATTGAACCCGTCCCTCCCCCCCGAAGTCCGAGACGCTAACCACTAGGCTAGCAACACAACCAATTGAAGTAACTTACGGTAACTTAATTTAACTTAGGGCCTAAATGCAAGGATTAAAACCTGGAACTAAATGGATAAAGTAATGCAATAACTAGCATGAAGTACTAAAACGAGTGGACAGAGATCGAGAAAAATGTTTTGAGACATCTTGAGACTCCAGCTTATAAATAGGCCTAGGTAGCCTAGTCTAACTTGTTTTCAAATTATGGATTTTAAGTTAAGTTAACTCAGAAGACCCACAAAAACGATGACAAAAAAAGTAATCCTTGCTGTTTTTAGATTTTTATATTGATGAAGTAAGTTGCAAAATGAATGGATTAAATATTAAAACGTAAAATTTTATTTGATTTTAGTGCCAATAAGGTGTCTTCTCAAACGTCATCCATGGCGATCAGCTGATTCCTTTGTTTGCATTCTGGTTACTACGAAGTTGAATTTTCATTATCTTGAGAGAAACCTTGAGATAAATTGATGTTAAATTTATTAGCTACGTGCAAAATTACTCGACTAAAAATATTCCTAGCATTTAAAAAATGCCCAGACCCTAAATAAGTTGTAAATAAATATTGAACTACGTATAACCAAATGTTAAGCATACCTTTATAGTGCACTCTAAGATTATTTTGAGACAGTCCTATATAATTGTATTTATCCTTTGGGCTCCAAGAACGGGGTAGAGGAGTCTCTTCTTCATTCACCATAGGATAAAGTATCTTTAAACGATCCACTATTGGATTTTGAGTTCCAGATATTTGATCACTACCACTACGAACACTACTCACGGCAGCCATTTCTGTTCTTACTTTACGTTTACTTACTACAATCCCGGATGTAAACGTCATGATTGTATTTCTGCTTCTGGCCAGCAGGTTGCGTTGCATTGTACACACAGCTGATCTGTTGTCATAGCAACAAAGCAGTAAACAATATAATCATGAATTTAAAGAATGGTAATTAATCATAATTTGTGTATGAATAAGAGTTCATAATAATAAAATAATATTTAGTTTTACTTTTAGTTTTAATTATCAGCTTAAAACTGTCTCTTATTAATAATCAAAGTTAAATGTTATAAATTTAAATTAGGTACTAAATTTGAAATTATTATTGTTTATTAGCGATTTTCCCCATAGGGAAGTAGCTATTACCCTAGGTCTCATGGGCCCCTGATAAAAAATAAGAAATCAATTTGATACCCTTAATGTTTTGCAATCCCTTTTATTAATCAAAAGTGGGTTTTAAGAAATTTATAAAAGTGTGTGTATAACGGTAATTTCTAAAAAATGTTTTAAATTATTGATGTTTAAAAATCAAATAACTCACAGATGTACCATTTTTATATATATTTTAACAAAACTATTCAGAAAACAAAACATCAACATTCTTGGCTGTTATCTAGGCTTAATTCAACTAGAAATATATTTTCTTCATAAATTTTTGGCTTGTGTACTTAACCATATAAATTATACAAAATAACTTCAAAAAGCTTATTCATTTTTAATGTTGGCATAAAAAAACTAAGATTTACATTACATACAACTAAACTGTCCAAACTGCCATGCCTCGATGATTCTTGTATAGTGTTTTTGTAAGTAATAGTTTCTAGCATGAATACCAGAAAAGATTTATTAAAATCCATATTTTAGCCCCTGAGCTGTATAATAACTAAAATAGGCTTTACCTTCGTCACTGCAGCTCAAATTCTGGTGTAACTATGTTACGGCCGTTTCGGAATTACACCAGAATTTGAGCTGCAGTGACGAAGGTATAGCCTATTTTACCAGAAAAGATCCGGTATGGATCATAAACCTAAACACTACAAAATTGGTGGTGGTATTCTGAGACGTGAGGACCGTGTGAAGGATCTTGGTGTAATACTTACTTCTACCTTGAGTCCTGCTGAGCACATACCGGTAATTCATATTATCGCAAGAGCTAATTCCATCTTTTTAGGATTCATCCTTAGATCATCAAGAGACATCAAGTCCCCACAATCACTTCTGGTGTTATATAAGACCCTAGTTCGGCCAGTTTTGGAGTACCGCTCAACTATCTGGTCACCATATCGGCTTGGCCATATTGAAATGTTAAATAAAGTACAGTTACGCTTCCTCCGAGTCTTAGGTGTCCGCCTGGGCTATGAGTATCGTGCCCCACCAATCCTAGAGCTCTAGGAGTGCTTCAACGTCCAACCTCTCTATCTCAGAAGAAAGCTGCACGACATGCTTTTCCTGTTCAAACTGGTTCATGGTGAGATCGATTCTACCGGCCTACTGGAGGGAATTAATTTCCTTATACCGAGAGGAACACGATCTTCAGATACTTTTGCTCAATTGTATTCACCAACCAACTACTCTCTCAATTGTGGATTGGCAAGATTGCAGCGTCATGGAAACAAAGTCGGATCACAAGTTGACTTCTTCAACGAACAGTTGTCCTCCTTCAGAAGAAAAACCTCTAAAATTATCATTGCTATGCCTGTTTTGTAGATGATGTATGTTTGTTTTGTCCCAACATCTGTTATTTCTTGTTATTCATTCATAGATTTATTGTTGTAAATGTTTCACGTAGAAGTTATAGTCATCATAGTTTATTGTTAAATCTTCAGGAGATATCTGTTATTGCTAAACTTTCAAAGTCTACTTGCATTTTCTGAAATCCAAATACTAAAATTTTTTGTTATTATCTGTTATCTGTGATGCTGTCTGTTTTGTTGTTATTATACTTTGTTAATGATGCAACTAAAAATGCAACTAAGATGCTTTTTTTATTATCTGTTATTGTTGTTGCGTTGCTATCTTGTTGTTATTACTTTTTGTTGCAATGATGTTTTGTTCAATGGTATATGCAGCTTCTCTTATTATTTCAAATGCAATTTATCTTTTCATTCTACTAGTGCTTAAATATATATTATTTTGTAAATGGTGTATCCGTTGGAATAAATAAATAAAAAATATATATAAAACAAATAAATAGAATAAAATAAATAAACATAAACAAATTACGTTTTTGGCCTGAAAGTAAAAAAAAACCATATGTTAATTAATGGTAAAGGGGCCATTACTTTCGGGCCAAAAACGTCATTTGTTTATGTTTATGATGCATACCGTAGTGATGTATAGCCTATATTTTGATGCAATCTATCCGATGAAGTTAGAAAAAAATAACTAGTTTTTTTAAGTAAACTAGCTGTTACCCACGGGCTCCACCTCGTTTTACTAAATTAGTATTAATAAAACTATTGATTGGTTAAGTTAAGATGAAATAAACAAAACAGAATACAGTAATGGTAATACAAACAAAAAATAACAGCTGAGGTATTTTTAACATTAGGTAAATGGAAAGTTCCCTTTGGAAAGCAATTACGATCTTATAGGGCAATTTATGAAATAATGGATAATTTTGCGCAAGGTTTCTCGTCATGACGACCCTTTTAAGTATATGGTTTATGGGGGTGTGACTTGTAGTTTTCTCAAAAGTTCATGGGTACTTTTGGCTTTATATATAGATAGTACCATGTAGTACGTTAATATCAACTGAACGTTTCTCTTTATTTTATGATAAACTCACAGTTGGTTCTTTCCTCTTTGGTAGGAAAGGCAAGTTATTTGTCAATTTGGTCATCATAGTAAAAGATTGGTAAAATAACTAACAAGAAAGTATTTGAGTAAACATCAAAACAAACCTAATACTAGACAGATACACGATCGGCAATTTTCTTCAATTCTTCCATAAGGATGATGATGGGATTGTTTGAACTGTGATGCATAAAATTAAATGCTACCACACGGGAATAAAAGATAAAAGCAAAGTGGAATAAAAAAAAGCAAGATTTATTGTGCTTGTTTGATTTCATTAGCAATCCTTTGCCAGTTTGTGTAATTGTTTGGTACATATGAAATCAACGGTTCACTGATAGTATTGTTACTATTTTTGCAGCAATAGTTATTTTTCAAATTCGAACCATTTTCAACACAATTTTTCATAGAATTACTCCCAATAGTAGAATTCCTTATTTCTAAACTTCGTTTGAAGGAATTCTTTGGATTTTTAGGATTCAGTTTAAAGACTCTATACAATTTGGAGTCTTTATCCCAAGCATACTCACTAAGTGACAAGTCTTCAGAAGAGTAAATCTTTTTGCAACGTGAAGACAAAATGTCGTCAAGTGATGATATAGATTGTGATTCAAATCTTGATCGCTTTTCTTTTGAAAAATGTATACAAAAGCCTAACGGTTTCATGAATTTATCAGGTTCTGCTTTAGGGGTTTCACAATTATCATGAAGAGGAGCATTTTCTACATTATTAAGACTTCTGTCTTTTTCTTGAGGACTTATCTCTGTTACTGAATTGGATTTTCTGAGCATCTGATCCAGATCTATTTCTGTTTGAGACACTCTTGCTTGATGCAATTTTGACATTTTAGGTTCTGAATTACGTTTAACTGGTTGATTAAAATAACCAGAAACACTTCTTATTTGCCTAAGATCTGCTCTTGTATCACTCAAAACTTCCCTACTTGATTCGTCACTTAATTCATCACCATTAGTAAAATTACTAATGCCCTTATTTGGCAATTTGTCTTGTGAAAGGTTTACTAAATGAGTTGGTGCATCTTGTTGTTCATTCAGCAAAGTGTCTGGAGAAGTTATACTTCTGTTTTTGACATTCAAGAGTGAAGGAGTTTGCCTTGAAAGTACTTTTGTAAGTGAAGGTTTTATATTTTGGTCTTTTGTTGAGTATTTTGATTGTTTTCTCTTTGAGGAAACCGAACCTTTTTTTAGACTTAGTATTGAAGAATTTTTTTTGGGTAGGTTTAGTTCTTGACTTACACTCCTCTTTAGTATGTTTGAGGATTTGTTACCTTTTAGTTTTTTTAATATCCCCAACAGAGCTGGTTCTTTAGTCTCTTGCATAAATTCACTTCTGCTTGTTACTTTTTTTATCATGCTTTTAAAACGATGTTTCTTTTCATTATTCACTGATGGATTTCTTAAAATACTTTTCTTTTGTTGAACATTCCTATCAAGCGAATTGATATGTAAAGGTTCTGCCAATCGGTCTTCTACCATATCCATCGTTGACAATCTAATGGTTGAATTTCTATTTATTTGTTTTGGATCAATCTGTGATGCGACAAATTCCATATTTTGAGGCGAGAATCCCGATAATACATTATTTTCCATAGTTTTTTCTTGACTTACTTTAGGAAAGATATTCTTTAATATAGAGAGGGACTTTTCATTTTTCAAAGTACTTTTTCTATTACTTGCACGAGAATTCGCTTCCATCACCAGTGGTGAGTTATCAACTAAACTTGTGAAATACATACTAAGCTCAGGGCCGGTGTTTCTTCCTGGGATATTTATCAGTTCAACTGATGGTTCATTTTTCATATGCCTTAAATTAAATTGCTCTTTTCTACTGTCTATTGTTTTTCTGTCTACGATCATGGATGATGAGTTTTGTAGTTTACCATTTACTTGATCCAACTGACAGCTATTTCTGCTATTGTGAACATTTTTTATAGACGATTCAGAGAGACTTTCATATTTTCCCTCATCAAGGTATTTATTGGTGATTATTTTAGCAACAACTGGGCTTAGCTTTCGTGCAACATTCATTAAAATTTCATCTTCAACGATTTCCAATGGTAAATTTAGCTTCTTTGAGCTCTGTTTTTGTTTAGATTTAGTCATATTTTCAGATTCTTTGGTAGAATTAAGGGATGATTGAAGTGCCTTAGAGCTCTTTTCATAAACTGGCACTGTTGTTAAGTAAACGGAATGAGCCAAAGGG